CGATACACAAGGTCTGTTAAACCTTTGTAGTTTGAAGAACTGTGAGGAAAGATGTCAGGATAATCCTCCACCAAAATCCCTTTTATTTGGTCAAGATCAATCACATTTTTGGCATTTGCAAATCCTTTTTGTACTTCACTATGTAGTTTGGCAAGGATCTTAAAATCTCCTCTAATGCCATACCCTATCTTGGTGATTTTTGGATTAGAAAAGAGCTGGCCAATGCAGGACCAATGTGAGTCTTCTAGCAAGGGTTGGAGAGCCACTAGATCCAAGAGGAAAACCCTAGACTGTGAGGCCATTTGAAGGAGTGATGCTTGTTCTGCAGATCCAATGCCAAAAGTTGGCTTCCATTCACTATCCATTGCTATTACAGAACTCTCTGTTAAAACTGACATACATTTTGTGAACTCCTCAACTGAGGTAACTATCACCACTTCCTCTAAAGGTATATTAAGTGAATAAAAGTCTAATCTACCATCATCCCAACACTCTTCCTCTTCCAAGTGTTTGTCTACGGCAACATCCACGTTTCCATCAGTGAGATGAGGCTTTGCACTAATTACTTCCTTTATTCTTACTGGAATATCATCAGGATGAAGCTGAAGCTTTCTGACATAAGGAGCAGCAGCTTCTAGATCATGGTACTCGTCAAAGAGGTGCATCAGGTCTGGCCCAAGGTGTGGGCTCTCCTTCAGAGCATCATCTATTAGACTCTGAAATGCTTGAACCTGAATGCCTTTCTCAATGTAGTATTTGTAAAAAATGTATCGCAAAGCTCCTCTGGCTCTGTGTTTCTGCATGTGTGGACAGATGGATGCATCTAAATCAAATTTTTTCAAAAGCTTGGCCACTGTGTTACAAAGCATTTTGCTAGATTTGACTTTCTTTGGATCCTTGATTTTGTAAGTTTTGTGAAGATCGTTTATGTTTACTTGTTTCCCAATAATACTGTCTATAAAGGACAAAATTTCCTTCTGGTGTCTGGGACTGGTGAGAAGAAACTCATCTGCCAGAGAAAGACGATCTTGTAGAAAGAGTGGAACAATCAGGTCTTCGGTGGAAAACTCATCCTGCAGGTTTAGAAGGGTTGCCAGGGTAGCTACTTCCTTTAGCTGTCCCTGCAATCGCATTTCCTGGATATGAGGCAGGAGCAACATCTTGATCCTTTCTAACTGAAAGGCCTTGACAAAGAGCCTCATCAGACCAACATTCTTCTGCCTCACAGCTACTTGGAACATGTCAACTTGCAATGCCTCATTCAAGCAATGCTCATACTTCGGGTAGTTTCCTTTCCCTAAAAACGACATCAACTCCACAATGATGTTTGCTGGCATTCCACTTGATCGATTTTTAAACAAGTCTGGGCATAACTTAATGCAGACTGATACCATTTTGTAAGGGTCAGCAGCTACACTAAGACTATCCTGCATAAGTCTTGTAAATTCTGATTTGTTCCCATCTTTCCAGAGGGAATACAAGGATAAGAAAGTGTGTGTATAATCTTCCATTTTTGCTGTTTATGGTACATCCAGATCTGTAAAAATGAACAGAGCAAATGAGATTCATATAGGATATTCAAACATTATGGATACACTATATATTTATGTGTGTGGTGTGGGATGACGTGTTTTGGTACAAAGTTATGTATAGGAATATCTCTCTCTATCTCTCTAAATGCTCATTCACACACACACGCACACACATGATCTTTTTAGATTTTGTAATTTTTCTCTATTTTTCCGAGAGCAATGCACAAAGATAGAAGGAAATAAACACTGCCACCTCATAAAGAGTAAGAGATAGAGTAATAAGTAGAAAGTCCAAAACACCCTCACAAAGCCAGAGTTCTTAATGTCGCGCTTTCTGTAAATTGGCGCAATAATGGAGGGTACAGAGGCGGATTATCCTCCCACGTCTAAGAAATGAAATAAAAAAGTAGGAAAGACTTGGTTTGGATTTTTGAGTTCGCATGAAACTGCTTTTGTGTTGCTCTCGGTTACAAATACCCTCTGTGCAACACTATTCTGGAAAATTGCATACATATACAGTTCTATTTAATTAGCATCACCAAGTCTCCCTCTCAGTTCCAAATCTTTCCTTATAAACATTAAAAATTAGACTTACGAAAAATACTGTGTCCTACATATATAGGCCTACCTCTTCGGTGTTACTGTAATAAGAGACACTTGATTGACTGTCGGTACTTCTTCTTTTTCTTCTTCTCCTTCTTTTTATAAGGTTTTTAGACTATTATTTCACCATCTTTTACAATACATGAATGGACGGATGGTGCAATCTTGGTGAACACCCGATGGCAACAATGTTCAGGCGATTGGCATATTTTCAATTATATTTCCCATCAAAGCGGTGTTATTATTCCTTGAAATATTAGAGATAGATCTTAAACGACACGATGGTATAATTTATCAATGCAAAAAGGGTCGCAGAGAATGAATGTAATGTGTTTAAGAAGAAATGCAAGTGTGTTGCCACTGCG